GGCGCCCTACTCCTTTGAGCCACAGGCATCACCCCATTGTAAAAGTTTTATCATGAGATTAAAACAATTCAGTCACATCTTTAGACTCCTCTTCTAATTCTACTAGTTTTGTTGTTACAGCTGCTACCTCTGCAGTTACTTTCTCCACTGAAGTGTCTTGAGACAGAATTTCACTCTGTTTCCCAGCTAAAATGTAGTAGTATAATCATAGCTTATTCAGATGTCAAAGTCTTGGGCTCAAGTGATCATTCTACCTCAGTCTCCCAGAGTGCTAGGATTATAGATGTGAGCCACCATGCCCAGCCTGGATGGTCCTCTTGGTCGAGAAGTTTGGAGAATTCTTTCTTCAGTCTCTTTTAGTGCAAAGGTTCTGTAAGTTGTATAGTAAGGTGACCAGATTTTAACATTGGTAAAGCGAGACACCATTTGTGGGGGGTGTTCTTAATTGAAAATTTTGTCTATATGGAGCAACAAAAATTTTCATAGAATGCAACAATAGTATTGTAATATATTTTTTTTAATTTCAACATAAGTGCAATTTACAAATATAATACCTTAAAAAAAATTATGTATAGGGTGGCACCTGTGGCTCAAAGGAGTAGGGCACTGGTCCACCGGTCCACCTGGGGGACCTTGCCCAGGAGGGGAGTAGGGAGTTTACATTAGCCTTTTAGTTTCCAAATGAAGTTACATTAACCTCTTCATTCCCAAATGGAGTTACATTAACCTTTTCAGCAGCCAAAAACCATATATCCCCTTCTCGTAGTCCCGCCATTCCCTAGCTTGTCGTGCATTCTTTCCAAAAATCGGGATGTTTTTAAAACTCTGCTGGACAGGGGACAAATTTTTAAAAATCAGGACTGTCCCGCCAAAAGCGGGACGTCTGGTCACCTTACTATATAGATGTTGTGCTTCTCAAAGATAACTCTCAAGTGTATCTGTATTTTGTACTCATTGGATACAGTGCACAGGAGAAGGAGGAAAATTGCTAAATACTTTATATTTACTTTGCATTGTTTATAGTTAATTTTCCTATTAATTTTTTGAGAATAAGTGCCAGGTAATATGTATAGTATTTTCCATTTTAGAGAGGAGAAAACCATTTAAATTGGTTAAATATTTCCTCCTCCTCCTCTTCCTCTTCCTTTTTGAGTCAGGGTATTAGTCTATTGTCCAGGCCAGAATATAATGCTGTGATCTTACCTTACCACAGCCTAAGTGCTTAGCTTACTTAGCATTCCTGAGTTCAAGTTATCCTCCCACCTTTGCCTCCCAAAGTGCTGGGATTATAGGCATGACCAACCATGCTCAGTCTAAATTGACTAGCTTTTGATCAAACTTCACCAGTCTAGAATGTAGTCTGTTTAACTCACTAGGTAGCATTATCTTTAAGTTATCAAACATTACCATGAGATATTTATACTTTGTATCTGTTTTCTAGGCATATATCTTTATGGGTTTTATTCTTGAGAATTTTTTCCCTTATCCTTGAGAGCTTTTTCAGGGATTGGATATTTGCATAAGAATTAGGGCTTTAGCAGTTAAACTTAACCTTGGCCAGTTAAGCAAGAGAGAATTCAGATATAAATTTATATTGTTTGTCTCTTTAACATTTCCAGTTATGTTTTTCTGAGAATTTCCTCATTACATATTCTGTTTAATCTTAAATCATTTATTCATGTATTTACAAACTGAAGCAGTTTGTTTTCTGCCACTTTTAAACTTTGGAAAAGGATTATGAGGGATTATTTTTGGCTTTTTACTTTCCTTTGTTGATGTTTTATGTATTTTTAAAAATTTTTTCAGATAAGAATATCTTTTTATAAAGTAAAGGAATGAAGCAAGAGGTCTCATTTGCTTCTTAAGTAGGGACTGTGATTTTATTTTTCTTTTGAGTGTTCTTCCATTGTTTCTAGCTTTTAGCAGGCAGTCTGACTGAATTTAAGTGTCACAAGGCAGTCTTCACCACCTGTGAAGATAATCTACCATCTGTCCACCTTTGTGTCTTTTTTTCTTATACAAAACAAACAAAAACCCTGGGGGTCAAAAGGCAGAACCTACTAGTTTTTTAAACTGCCTTTACTCTTTCAGCAGGATGCAAAGATAGACACTAAATTAAAAGCTAATTAGAATATATTCAGCTCAACTAGGAAGTTCTTTCAGATCTTAAAATTCACTTTGTCTGTATTCCTTTTACTTAGATGCAAAGACTTTGTAGAGTTTGAAAGTAAAAGACCTAGATTCTCCTGTGGGGTAAATAAAGTTATAATTACTGAAGTTATTAATATCTTTTATGGGATTTAGATGACTGCAAAAAAAATGACAGTGTTTTATTTTACCAGATTGATATTGACGTATATAAAATAAGTTTCATACCAAGACATAATAATTTCATATTGAAAAATAAAGCACTGGCTCGGCGCCTGTGTCTCAGGCGGCTAAGGCGTCAGCCACGTACACCTAAGGTGGCGGGTTCGAATCCCCAGCCCAGGCCCGCCAAACAATGATGATGGCTGCGACCAAGGAATGGCCGGGCGTTGTGGTGGGCACCTGTAGTCCCAGCTACTTGGGAGGCTGAGACAGGAGACTCGCTTGAGCCCAGGAGTTGGAGGTTGCTGTGAGCATGATGCCATGGCACTCTACCCAGGGGGATAGCTTGAGGCTCCGTCTCAAAAAAAAAAAAGAAAAGAAAAGAAAAATAAAGCACTTTAGGCTTTCAGTTTATTATATGCTGGATATTTATAGGATTTAAATAAGTAATATCAGATGTCTTCAACTCAAATACTTGGTACACTTTTGGTTGGTTTTATGTTAAAGATATGAAATATAAAGTTTTGTTTTATTAAAGCTGATTTATTTAGTTACCAGTGTTTTTTCCCTTCCCTGTTTCTAGAAAAGTGTGATTGCCTTACGACAACTTGTGCCTAACTCTCAGAGCTTCATTCAGCAGTGTGTTCAGCAGACTTCTAGTGAGGGAGTAATCGTTACCTGTACTACAACAGTAACAACTTCTCCTATGGTAACAACAACAGTTTCCTCAAGCCAGTCTGAAAAGCCCATCATTGTTTCTGGAGTGACAACACCCAGAACTGTGTCAGTGCAAACTCTGAATTCACTCACAGGTCCAAGGGAAGCAAAGGCTGGAGTTGTGACAATTCATTCCATGGGCCCAGCTGCTATACCAGGAGAAACAACAGCTGGAACTGTTTTCCTTCAGACTTCCAAACCACTTGTGACATCTGTACCAAATACAGTTACAACAGTCTCACTTCAACCTGAAAAGCCAGTTGTCTCTGGAGCAGCAGTAACAGTGGCCATTCCAACAGTAACTTTTGGAGAAACTTCAGCTGCAGCTATATGTCTTCCATCTGCGAAACCTGTTGTTACTTCTCCTGGGACCACATCAGATAAGACTGTCATTGGCGCTCCAGTCCAAATCAAAATTGCCCAGCCTGGTCCTGTCCTTTCACAGACAACTGGCATTCAACAGGCGGTTAAAGTCAAGCAGCTAGTGAGTAACATTTTGGTTTTTCCTCAATTATTTGTTTTGAAATTGTTGAACATTCACAAAACTGGCAGGACTAGTAAGGAGTTGGCAAGACTGTATATCCTGTATACCCTTTACCAAGTTTGGCCAGTTGTTAATTTTTTACCTCATTTGCTTTGTCTCTCTTTCTACTCATATCCACAAATACACACATGATTTTTTGCTGAACCATTTGAGAGTTGGTTGCAGAAATGGTGACAATGAACAGTGTATGCATCTCTTAAAGGGTGTTTATTTTTTTACATAGCCATAACATACTTGTCACATGGGAAATGAATTTTGGTACAGTATTTCTCCAGCTCCCCTGATGTTTCTTTAGAGCTTTTTTAAATTTTTGAACTTGTGTCTAATGAAGAATTGCACATTACATCATATTACTTTTAATTAACATTTCTTTTTAGACTCTTTTAATCTAGAGTAGTTCTATAGCTTTTTGTGGTTATTCATTACATTGTAATGTTTTAAGTGTCCAGGCTAATTGTTTTGCAGAATGTTCCTTTATTTTGTTTTATCTCATTTCTTCAAGATTAGATTCAGGTTAAATATTTTTGGCTGGGTTAATACATAGATAATGTTATGGTAACATTTCTTTAAAAAAATTGTTGAGGGAAAGGGAGACAGGAGTAGATAAGAAGTTGTTTTTTCCCTAAATATGGTAGGTTGGGAAAGAAGGAAATTTTGACTGTTTCTTAATTAGTGTTTAGAATGCTCTACTTTATTCAAGAAAAGTTAAGTTTTATCAACGGACATTAAAAGTATTGTTAACCTGTGGTATATACCACATGGTAAATTCATAGCAAATCATTATTCTTACTATAGTTGTTCCCTGCACTATATCATTAACAGCTTGTTGGTCTTTTGATTTTTGGTGGTTGCTCTTAGTCTCTTTTGTTACTCTGTGTTGGAGGCTGTGTTTTAAATCTCTTTGTTTAGGATAAGAGGTTCTTGTCTGTGGATGATTATCTCTGAGGCAGAAGGACAGTTTTGGACATAGGACAAAAGGGGAAAGATCAGTGATCAGTATTGGAGACTAGTCAAACTGTTGGGTGGGTAGAAAGCAGTACTAATCTTCTCTCATCCCTTGCTATTCTTAGTATGATTTTCAAATGGAAAATGTTACCTATCTTTTAGGATTTCTCTTGGGTACTTGCATTTAATCTGAGAGATAAGAAGCTATCATTCTGTGCAGCCAGTTTTGGGAACCCCTGGAACAGAGGAATCACCCTTAGGAAAGGCTTCTTTTTGGTGGCACTGAACAGAATTGAAGTCCTCATTATGTGTTGTAGCTGATTCTTAAATCAGTATTAGTCTTTATTGAGCATCTATATATAGCATATAGGTTCTTGAGGTGAAATACTTTATAGCCACCTAGAGGTTTTTTTTTTTTTTTTGAGACAGCCTCCTGAGTAGTTGGGATTACAGGTGCCCACCACAACCCCTGGCTATTTTTTTGTTGTTGCAGTTTGGCCGGGGCCAGGTTTGAACCCGCCACACTTGGTATATGGGGCACCTTACCCACTGAGCCACAGGTGCCGCCCGAGCCACCTAGAGTTTTAAAAGTGTGTCATTTATATGGTATGGGTTTTGAAATAATTTTATAATGAGAAAAAGGTAGTAAGAAAACAGAGAATCCAGAAATTCAAAGTGTCCCTTTCAGTAGCAGCTAAGTAATGGATCTCAGACTAGAACCCAGAGACTTTTTTATTGGGTTATGACATTCCTAACAAGAACTTATAGATTTCTGGCAAATCTTTTTTTTT